CAATAACAACTGGGCGGAACCGGCCGTGACGCCACTGCCAGATCCGCCCAGTTGTTCATTGGCTGCTAGAAGACTAGCGGGTGTCGCCAATAACAAACAGTTGGGCGGAGCTAGCTGTCACTGCTAGCTACACCCAATTGTTTTTTTTTCTTTTATTTAAAATATTTTTCTTTTTAATTTTCCTGTTTTGGATCATTTTAAAAATTCTTAACCTTCTTTTTTTTTTAAATTTTGACTCTTTTTTTCCTGCTTGGTATCTCGAAAGGTACCAAGCAGAATAGCTGAGCCGAATGCTGCTCGACTGCATTCGGCTATTCACTCACTGCCGCTCGGCCCCATGAGAATATGGGCGTACAGCAGTGAGTGAGCCGCCGGAGCTTCGGCTCAGCTGATGCAAATGTTGCATCGGCTGAGTTGAACTCCTTCTGCACTTCGGCTACTGGTTGCATAGCCAAAACTTTTTTGTTTAAGTTTGGATAAAGTAGGACAGGGTTACAACTTCTGTCAGTTTTTGTTTTGCTATGTGTGTCCCTTTGGGGAGATTTCCCTTAATTCCCTGTTTTGGAAACCAGAAGAAGTAAGAGGAAATCTCTACAAAGTGAAAGGAATTCCTCAGTTGTTGCCTGTGGAAGATTTCCCCTTGTGCTGGAGGCACTGTTAAATTATGGATTTCCCCAAAGTTTGGGCTCTACATAGATTTTTAACAGGGCTGGACAAATTTCAGGAGACAGGTAGCCAAAGTTCCCCAAAATTTGCAGCTTGCTGAACTTTGCAGCTTGCTGAACTTTGCTTTAGTTGCTGCCAAAGTAACTGGCTCCTAAATAAAAATCCTGCTGGCTCCTGGATTCCTTATCAGTTTGTCCTCCCATGCATGTTAAGTCTTTCTTATAGACCGATCAACCTTCCTGCTCCTTATATAAGGTTTTCATAACGGTGTTGTCCAGCAAACACAGAACACATGTCCATTGCTGGTTCTGACTGCTGTGTCTTACATGAACAAAGCTTCAAAAACATTGTAAAAGTTTCTTGCAGCCACTGATTTCATTTCAAGTTACCATGGAGCCTTGAATGTGTCTGGTGATAGCAGAGAAATGACTTTCTATAGCACAGACTTCAGGAAATACACTCACGGTGACCCTTTAGTATTAGTTCTAGCTGCAGTGGATTACCGTGCTTTTAGCACAGCTGCAGCAGGTACTGGAATACAGTATTAGATTCTAGATTTTGTTTTATTTGCTATTGCTTTGTAATTGTTTTCTCTTTTTAAGATAGTTTTCCTATTTGATTTCACTAACCTTTGCAAGTAATTTATTAAAGTGCTTTTGTTAACATGATGTTAAGTTGTTATGGAAGATGAGAATAGCTGTTGCCCCAAAGTGGGAGATGATGCAGGAAAACCCCTTTTCAGTCTTGTTACCTGTTTTAAGCTCCCTCCAGTTTCTATGCTTAGCTTATTTCTTCCCCATCTAGTTAGAAATTTAATAAAGTGCTGCCTAACTATCCATCAACCTAACTTCCTAATACTACAGTAGATGAAGGAAGCAGGACCGAACATTTATACATGCAAAACACATAGCTACTGAAGCATGCTGCCTCCCAGCTTCTGTTTACATTTTGATCTGCTGCTGATGGAGCAGCTTCCAGCTACCATTGGGAAATGAGCTCTGCATTAGACTAGTGCGTCTGCTATAACCCACCTGCTCCCTCTCGTGGCGGGCAGGAACCTCTTCAGCAGAATATAAACTAAAACCCGCAGACCTATTGGCAAACGCCCTGATTTCACACTGATACTGACAGCTGAACTTACAAGACCGTTATCCTTTAACTGAAGAAAAAGAAAAAACTCTGCTACTATTAGGGGCATTTTAAACATTGCATTCCATGGACACTGTATTAATAGTCTGCCAGGCAGCTTGTAAGGACGTTTAGTTGTGTACACAGCATATAAAATGAACATGGTTGGTGCTGTATGTAAACAAACAAGAACGTGTAGTACTAGTTTATTTCAGGGGACCCCACTGTCTTTGCCACTTTTTTGTCTGTGGAAGTTTGGTTCTCCAAAAAGATTTTGCCAGTACATTTTCACTAGGGATGCACCGATACCAAGTACCGTACTCTGTACAAGTACATGTACCAATACTTTTCGAGCTCCAAGACTAGACTAGAGAAAAATTCAAAAGTTAGGAAGCGGCTGTCATTTGTAAGGAGCACACGGAGCTCCTGGGATTTGTATATCTCTGTTTTTAATGTACGATTTTGTTTTAAAAAATCTAAATAAAGGGATGCACCAATACCAGTTTTGCAAGTCCAAGTACCGATACTTGCCCAACTAGGTACAAGTACTGATACATTTTTGTTGTCATGTGACAGTTTTTCTAAAACAATACAAACTAATGATTGTAGGACAGTGCTGGAGCACCAGAGCTAGCTAGGTCCCAGCTGCAACCCTGGTAGTTCTCATGAAAATGCCAAGTATCTGCACTGGAACTCGAAAAGGATCGGTGCATCCCTAATTTTCACCGTTGTTTCCCTCAGCTATTTAGCAGCACTTCATTGGAGGAATGCCAGAGAAAATAATCTTTTCTTTTCTTTATTGGAACATTTAGCCCCTAGCATTTTGGAGGCTATGTCAGACTTTAAGTTAAAGTGACATTAAACCCTCAGATTTTTTAACATAAAACAATACTGTAATGTGTGCCTTACTGTAATCCATGGTTGTTTCCCTTCTCTTTGCTGCTCTTCCTTTTAAATCCTCATGTCTTCTCATGCTGGGGGAGAACTTCCCTTTGCAGCTGAGTGCCTCTTCCTGTAGTGCTGGCTCAGGTTGCAAACCTATACACAGACACCATGTATCCATTCCAGAGACAAGGCAGTCTGCTGCAAAACAGAAGTTCTGCCCAGCATGAGAACAGATACAGATTTAAAAGGAAGAGCAGCAGAGAGAAGGGAAACAACCATGGATTACAGTAAGGTGCACATTACAGTATTGGTTTATGTTAAAAAATCTGAGGGTTTAATGTCACTTTAAGGTGGGCCTGAACTCTCTCTCATAAGGAATGTATAGAGGTGTTAAGGGACAACAGCTTTGGTACAATTATCCTTTAAAGAGAAACTCGGGACAAAACCTTTATTACCCTTTTGCAGTTGGGCTATCCCTGCACTGCAGGGGTTAACTGTTCTTTTTCATCTCGATGCGACAATAACAAAAGTTATACTTGCCCAGTCCTCGGAGACGACTTGCTCTTAGACTGGTCCTGCCAGCCTCGTTCCCCCTCCACTGTGGCGGTCTAAGGATCCTTGAGTCATCACATTCTATACACTGTGTCTGGGACGAGAGGACCCTGAGGGACATATCATCTCTGCAGCGCAGGAGGGAACGCTGTGACGGCTGGCTGACTCCTCAGCCTTTTCAGTAAAGACGTAGTCTTCCTTTATGTTTTCAATCCCTCCTGAAAATAATAGTGCACTTTTGTGTCTAAGCAGTGTTTGCATGCTGTAAAAAAGCTGTACCTGAGGTCCTCTAGACCAGTGGGTCTCAACCTGTGTAACCTCAGGACCTACATTTGTCCTTGGTCATGAAGTCATAACCCAAGGCGTGCTGCAATGGCACGCACGACATTGCGGTACTGTGCATTCCGGTTCAGGCGATCAAACTGTGGGTGGGAGATGAGTTTGCCGTGTCATGCAAATGAATGGCAATGCAACACACCTCCCACACCAGAATGCGTGGTACAGTGCGTTAATCGTACGGGACTGTGCGATTTTGACACACTGTACTAGTGTGAACGGCCTTCAAAAAAAAAAATGACACACAACCACAGACACAATCTCCTACACCCAGACATTCTCTCTCTCACTCTCACACACACACACACACCAAAAATAATGTAATTTTATTTATTTTTTTAAGATCCACCCATTCCCCTTACCTTTCGAAACTGGAGTGGATCCTCAGGCTGGGGTCCAGTGGGGGCTACTGTGCTATTACCGAGCATCACCTATATGTGCATTGTTTGTACAGCTATCTTACACACTCTCTAGAGGTGCCGGGAGCCAGAATGTGATGTCATTCCGGTCCAGGCACCTCTACAGGGCACGTGAGTGAGCTGAGAGCAATGCACGTATGGATGGAGCTTCCTCACGGTCCTAGTCCCATCTCACCTCAAGCAGACACTTGACAATGGGCAACGGATTTTAAATGGCTGCTTGGCGTGAGAACTGAGGAGCCTCTCGCATAGAAAACTGGGCTTGAAGTGAACACGGGGTGACGACCCACCAGTTGAGAACCAAGGCTCTAGACGAGCACATATTTGCTTCATACATTCTCTGAATCTGTGCTTTTCTTCTCCTTTCTTGTGGCTTCTTGAATATTTCCCCCTCCCATTCAAATATCACAAGTTATCAGGGGGAATCTTTGGCATGAAAAAGCAAAGCCCTGCCATTACCAAAATGGTCAAAACATTGAAAGAGGGTGCAGAACAAGGCAAGGTAAGTCAGTGACAAAAAAAGATCACCTGCAGGGAGCCTACGGTCAATACTGATGAATATGCCTTTGCCTTCTACTTGCCTTTTTCGGCAAAGCTTTTGCAGTTAGGTTCCTCTTTAAACATGAGCGAGTCATAGTAGTGAATGAGTATGTAGGTGTCAGTGCAGAACAGTGCTGTAATATGTTTATTTTCCATACAGGATACGACTAAGTTAACTACCTCCGGCCCGGCCGTAGTAAAAAAAACGGCCGGCCAGGAGCTCTCTCGATCTGAGCGGGCGTCTCTAGACGTCCGCTCAAAATGTGTGTATCTAGCTACTGTCCTGTAATCCATTTGATCTGCGCCAATACTTAGAAGTATTTTGCCTTGTGTCATTTGTGTGTACAAAGCCTGTCTTAAGTACTTTCCCTATTTTTGTGTTACAATATGCTAATTAATATGTTGGAATTTTTGTTTTGTTTTGTTGACTACTAATGTTTGATGTTAATGACACCTTTTTTATGTTTTTTTTAGAATGTGAAAGCGTTTGTCGCTTCACACAGTCTAGTGAATGTCCATGAAGTAGCAAGCTGGCTTTTGGAAATGAATCAGGAACTGCTGTCTGTGGGCAGCAAGAGGCGACGTACTGGAGGCTCTGTGCGAGGTAATGCTTCCTCCAGCCAAGCAGATGAGGAGCAAATGAACAGAGTAGAGGAGGAGGATGAGCAGCAGCATTCTCAGCAGCAGGAGGATCAGCACATAGTGTTAAATGGAGAGGTGGATGGCCCTGGTAGTGTGGATAGACATGATTCCCAACATGAACAGTTGGAAGAAAATAATAACAGCTGCGTTATAGCAGATCAGGAGTCTGAGGACCAACCTGAGGACCATGAGCCAGCAGAGGATGAGGAGGAAGATGAGGAACATGTTTGTGATGCGGAGGAAGATGATGAAGAGGAAATGGATCAGGACAGTGATGACTTTGAACAGTCTGATGACAGTAGTAGAGAGGGTGAACGCCGAAATAACAGCGACATCCCAAATTCTAACAGTATAATGGACATAACCCTTCACCAAAAGCCTACACCTTTCCATACAAAAACAAAGGTGAGTGCTGTTCACGTTACGCATGTCTTTGATATATTTCATGATTGCTTTTCATTTTTCTTAACAAATGTGATTTTTTTCATGTAGCTTATCATTGTCAAAGGTAGGCGTGCAAACTTTTTTTTATTTTTTAATGCGCTAACTTTTTCATGAGAAGAATTTCTTTTATTATGTTCATAGCTATGATTTAGCCCCTACAAGAATATCTAAAGTATTTTGTAGAGTAATATGTTTTTTTTCTTTCTCACAACATGCCAGCGCACTTGCTAATTTCCAAAAAATGTCGGACACCACTCAGTGATCAGTGTAGGTACAAAGTAGGGATGCACCGATACCAGTTCAGATACCAGTGCGGATACTTGGCATTTTCATGAGAACTACCAGGGTTGCAGTGGTTGCAGCTGGGACCCGCCTCTGGCGCTCCACCACTGTCCTGAAATCATTAGTCTGTATTCTTTTAGAAAACATACAATAAACAAAAATGTATCAGTACTTGTGTCTGTAAGTACTTGGGTAAGTATCAGTCCTTGTACTTGCAAAACTGGTATCGGTGCATCCCTTTATTTATATTTATAAAAATAAAATCATACATTAAAACAGAGATGTACAAATCCCAGGAGCTCCGTGTGCTCCTTACAAATGACACCTGCCTCCTAACTTTTGAATTTTTCTCTAGTCTAGTCTTGGAGCTGAAAAAGTATCTTTACTTGTACCGAGTACGGTACTTGGTATCGATGCATCCCTACTACAAAGTTAACCAGACTAGAAAAGTGAAAAATCTAAAAAAAAGTAATATAAATATAAAAAGTAAGTAAAGATGCATAGAGCGGAGAGGGATTGTGCTTGTATATTTGCATGTACTGTGGCCAGTGCAGAAATCATGGCTGCTGTTGGCTGGCCCTAGGGTTAACACCTTTTGGTTCATGTAAAATCCATATGTTACTGGGTAGGGTGTGTTCCAGTGTGACTTAATCATAATGAGTACGGTAAAAACAGACTCGGGTAACCCCAGTTTGTTCTTCCATCTGAGAAAAAAAGGTATGCTGTAATTCATGAAAAGTGCAGTTGTATTCTGCAATTGTGTACTAAAATTGTGCACTACAATTGTGTACCTGGTACGGAGAATGGAGACGTTATTTAAAACTAAACAATTTCAAAGATTAAACTAAGGGGTTAAAATGGGTTAAATAAAAGTTTTTTTTTTAAAGAACTCCAGGAATGTTTTTTAAAATTAAAGTGACAAAGTCAAATTTGTTTTCCTCCCGCTATGCTGGTGTAAGGACTTCACTTAAATGATGCCTCTTGATCTGATCATCTTCTTTTCAGTAGTTCTCAGGAGTCCCTCCAGCGCTGGTGCCGGTCTCTGATCCAGTACTGACTGCTCTCTTCATGTCCCACGGTGTCTGTGCGGGTGCATGCTGCCAGTCGGCCTGCATTGACTTACCTTGTGACTCTCCTCTTCTCCCGACCAAAGATCTCTACTGCGCATGCACCCAACCTATGATCCTTTGTGGCCACCTGAGGAACTTCAGATCTTCAGACAGCGGAGATGCATGTTTAAACCTATTTGGTAACTTTAAAAAAAAAAAAGCAGTAGATATATGCAAAAAAGTGAATGGGTTTAATTTTCCTTTAATCTTTCCAGTGGGGCTACCCCTTTCCCTGCCAACGACGTAAGTAATACGGTGGAACACAACTGTTTCCAGCTTGCAACCTCAGTTTGCTTTAAGTCGCTGGCTTTCACCCTTCTGCTATAATATTATGGTCATTTTAGCAACCATGAACTTATAACAGAAGGGTCCCCCTCACGTTCCTCTGTAAATTAATAGCTGTCATCAGAGGAGAGAGCGGTGACATTCAGGATGCTGAGCGGGGAAGAGAGCCGTTGTCAGGATGGAGAGCGAAGCTGTGCCGGGCAAAGCTTCAGGATGCCGAGCTGAGGATCGGCAAATATGTGAAATATTTGCTGATCTTTCCGTGTGCAGAACAGACACCAGTGATCACTGCTGTTTGTAAATAACTGAGCACATAAGCTAATAACTGAGCATATAAGCTATGTCCCCAGTTATAAATGAACAGAAAGTGCTTAGATCACTTCCTGTTCATTCATAAGTGGGGACGTAGTACGCTCACTATGTGCTCAGTTTATGAATGAACAGGAGCACTTAGTGCAGAGGCTTCCTGTCTAAGGACTGGGGAGAGTATTATGCCTCTTTAGTTTGTGAATGAACAGGAAGCTTCTGTACTGAGTGCTCCTGTTTATTCAGTGCTGAGGCTGCAGGAAAAAGAGATTAAGGATTCCAGTCTCTTTTTCTATTTCTCTTTAGACGCCTGATATTTCCCTGAAGCCCCCCGACATTATAAAAAATTAAATTACAATAAAGAATTAAAATAGTTAAAGAAATAAAACACAACCCACACACAACATACCATACATGTGCAACAGTGTGCATCATATTGTGGTGTGGTGTTAGTGAATGCGCTGCAGTGCGTTGTTTGAACACATCACAGTGTTGACTTTTTCCCCCCATTTTTCAAAAACCATTAATTCAACTGTGTGACAGCGCATGTTACGTTGTGACAGCGTTTTGATATGCTGTGTTGCGATTATATGTACGCCTGCATCATTTTATCACAACACACACCAATGCAATACACAAACGGCACTGCAGATCACGGTGGTAATACAACACAGATTTTTAGTAAAAGGCGCTTATTTACAGTTTTGCATTCCCTAATTTTTTTTACCATTTCGCAAAAAGGCGCAATTTAAAATGTACAAATATTTTATTTTTTAACTCAATACAGTTTTATCTTTTAGATTGTCGGTAAAGTGTTTTTTTTTGTGTGCGCTGATACTGATTGTAGTGTGCTTTCATCGATTTTAAATGTGTGTTTTTATTGGTTTAATTTTGATTTGATAAACATTTGCACAATTATCGCAGGGCCTACAAAATTTGTAGCATTTGGGGTATTTTACAAAATCTAAAAGCAACCGTTGAAAATAAAACAAACAAAAAAAATTAGGAAAATTGCAAAAATGGTCTGGCCAGCTGAGCTCAAAACTGGAACGCAGTGCTTGACAGCAAAAGGGTTACATGCTCGTTTTGTGTCTAGGTTTTAAAAAAAAGTTGTACTCACCTGATGCTCTGGTTCGGCTTGTTCTTAGACCACTCCATCCAGCATCACGCACCTTACTCTGTAGTAGTATAAGGTAATGTAAAACATCATGCCTATACATAGTGTATGAACGTGAGGATGCTGAGGAAGATTCCAATGCTGCTGTGGAGGGATCGCTGTGATAGATGGTCTGCTCGGAGCTTCAGGTGAGTATATCTTTATTTTTCTCCCTAGACACAAACGAGCACTTAACCCTTGCAGCTATTCATTTACAGGGGAACATCAGGGGTACCCTTCTGTTATAAGTTCATGGTTGCAGTGGTTCTTCCACTGCAAGGGTTAATAAAAAGTTTTCCTGGAGTTTTTTGTTTTTTTTTAACTTTAACAATATTGTTAGAATGTAATAAAGCCGGTAAGTACTCTTTATTTTCAGGCTTAATTCATGCAGGTCCCACTTTGGCCACCATGATACACAGAGCAGGATCAGACTTTACCATTGTAATGTGTGGATGCTACTGCACCATGGCATCTGCTGCCCTCTCCCACTGCACCATGGCATCTGCTGCCCTCTCCCACTGCAGTGACACTCCTACCTCATTGTTGGTCAAGCCCTACCGGCAGTAAGCTCCAGCAGTTAATGGACTGCCACTAAACAGGCAGGGAAGAATTCTTATGTACTTTGTAAGGTCTTTAGAAGATTGAAATTGAATTATAGCCTTCATGGTTTACTTCCAAGAAAGGATATATACACACTGTGTCCAGCACAAGTAACTGCGTCCTTAAATATATTAGTGATGTCTTCTAAATCATAGGAAACTATATCTTGTGAAGTATTTTATCAAATAGAATAAGCTGTCATAAAAAAAGCCTTTGGAATCCTCTTTGTAGGGCCAGGTGCTGGGTTTCACCTTATGAATTGCCAATACCCTTGAGCAGGAGTAAACCTCAGGACTTCTGTAATCTTGATTTACGATCCAAAGACTATCCTGGAGTCATGGAGATGATGCAGGAAGGTTCATAGCTGCAGTCGGTGTATTTAGGTTTTGTGCTGCCCTAGGCAAGACTACACTCGGACACCCCCACCCCCCCCATCCTAAATTTGCCCCACCCCTCCTGTTTGACATTTTGCGCAACCTGTCAGTGGCTGGACCCTGCAGAGCCCACCATAGCCGCAGAGCACACCACAGACCCTGCATAGCCCACCATAGAACTCGCGTAGTCCACCTGAGACTGTCCATCCGGCAGCTCTCTCAGGTAAATTAGGTGGCCATGAGACACAATGAGCCAAGGCTGCCTGATTCTGTGCGGCCCGGCTCGCCACACCAATTTGGGGGCAGTGCTGTGCCGCCAAAGGCAAATGCCTTGTTTGCATTGCGGTGGATACACCCCTGGCTGCAGTAATTTAATAGTGGCATTATTCTACTGGCTATGCACTCACAAGAGGGGCTGAACAGAATGACATATTTTTTTCTGGTAACCAGATCATATACTGTATATGCATTTTTTTCTTTGTATTTAGCTGGATAGAGTTCCACTTTTTTTACTTGAGTGGGTTGAACAGCGACCATCTCCATGTGTCTTCACCACTGGAACTTCTTGGAAGTCATGTGAAATTGAAGATGCATCGGCTATCTTGATCATGCCTTCATTTCCAAGTTTTATAGGAGCTGTGGAAATGTCTGACTGTATTTTTATATCCATATGGTCAATATAACCAAACTGAGAAGAATGCATTTGCTCTTTTGTTCCCATTGTCCAAGGTTTTGTTTTTAATTGCACTTACTAGGGAATCCGTAAACTTCTGCTAGAGCTGTAATAGAAGAACAGTCGCAGGACCACTTTGTGGTCCTCTTTTGGTTGAAGAAAATAAATCTC